CCAAACTAAAACTAACAACTGGAATACTATCCATATACTTAACTACTTAATCAAAGTTTAATTTTATAAACTATAAATACAACTAAGTGTAAATACCAAGTGAACTTATCAGGTAGAACTTGTAAATTATTTTTTCTTTGAGGAGAAGAAGAGAGCATATACTTTAAAAGTTTGCAGAGAAGTATATTAATATGAAAAATACAATATGGAATGAGGCTAACGTTGTTACTAAACCAAAAAATATTTTTTATAAAACAATTTACATCTATTTATTGTTAGACTATAAATGATCTATAACTGGACTGAATTAAACAGAATTGGACTAAAAAAATTGAATAGAACTGGATGGACTATTCAATTTCAATTTACTTAAGAGTGATGAGCTAGAATTGAATGAACCAAATAGTCCAGTCGACTGAACATATGTCTAGTGCCAACACTGGATGAGGCGCTTAAAGTTTTAAATAGTCATTAGAATTTTGAAAAAATAATGTATCTAAAAACTAAAAGTGTGGCACGCATTATTGGAAATCAGAGCTGATTTTGTTTTCACGAGAGCTATTTTTTAAAAAACAAGCTCTCGAATTCTAAAAAAATTTATCTATTAAGTAAGATGTTCTTAAAATTATAAATATAAAAGAATACTTTTTTTAAATAAGATTCACAACGTAAGAGATTTTCTTGAACATTTTAAATAAATTATAAATTATTAGAAATCAAGTCTATAATGTAGACTTTAAAGAACAGGAGTGAGGCACAAATGTTATTTTATAAGAAAAATAACTTTTTTAAAACCTAAAAAATATATTATTGAATAATTTGAGCTGATTTAACCTCTCAAATTATATGATTCGTTTTGGCTGGGTTAGATAACATTTTTGACCTGTGCGAGCCAGCCTCTCTAACTTCGTTAGACAATATAGAACATATTTGTTTTAATTTATTCACAATTTCGATTAATAATTGGTACGTACAAACTACGAACCAGTAATTATTTGATTAAATAGATACTTTATCATTAATTTCATAACGATAATTTAACTATAATTTAAATAATTTTTTTTTAAAAGCTTCTCTCAATTAAATATTACAATGCTAATTTAGTGATAATCTGTACAATAAACGAACATGATCTGGGATTTTAAAACATTTTCGAAGACCCAAAATTATTAAAATCTTATTTCAAATAAATACATTGACAAAACACTATAATCTTACATACAATACTGTTATAATCAAGTTTAACTAAGGATCGTTTTAATTTTCTAATTTACAAGACCACAATATTAAAATTGAAATATTAAAGTATTTATCAAAATTTAGCTCTACAACCATCACCACATCCAGGTCTACCTCCAACAAAATTTGCATAATAATCCGTTGTATATTTACAAAATTCATCAGCATCAGGATCATTAATTGATTCACCAAAACATAATTTAGTTTGAATGTTATATCCCCATCCAATACAATTAGAATCAGCCGAACATTTTCTACAGCATTCTTCAGAACTTACAGCATCATAACTCATACTATAATAAGCACCAGATAATTTATTAATGATACCAGGACCACCTGTATCACAACAATCTAAAGCATCAATAGTAGGAGTGGTTTTTGAAGTTTCTGTTTCTGTTGGAATAATAAATAAGGTAGACGGAATTCCGGCGATGTTCTTGGCATTATTAAGTTTCAAACTATCATTATCACAAATAAGAATTTCCTTAAAATTTCTTTCTTGATGATTCACAAATTGATTAGAATCAATAGTTTGATTAAACTCAGTGGTTGTGAATGCATTTTTGCTTTTTTTATCGTCAGCTCCAATATTGATTGTAGTAAAGCAAAGTAAATAAATAATGACTGATAATAAAAAGCCCCAAATGTTATTCGCATTCATTTGGAATAAAAAAAAAAAAAACTTTCTATATAAAAATAGATTGTTACAAGGAAACTTAATGTGAAAGAATGAATAATACGGTTTATTTTAAAGTTTCATGGAAAAATGGTTAAAGGAATGAGGAAGTGAACGAATTGCAGTTTGACATATTTCATGTGAATTTAATTGTTTGTCTCAGGCATAAATGCTGTGAGACCTTAATAATAACCACACATCCATTTATGTAATGCACAAAGGCTGTGAAACAACAACAGTAATATTTCTTAATTTATTTATATAACTGATATATTTTTATTAATTAATGAAACGAAATTAAACCGTTATTTTTAGTAGATAAATTTGAGCACATTGTTGGAAAAATACTATGATAACGATAAATTACTTGATTTAGTATAGTACCCCACCTGTAATTCTTGATGAAAATAAAAGCGATAAAAAAAAACAACACATTGGTTTAGTGTTAGAGTTAAGTTTATTTTAGGGTTAGGGAAGTTTGCAAAGCGTAATAGCAAAGAAATTCTTAAAATTTTGCGAGGATTTTTTTTTTTTTTTTTTTTTTTTTTTTTTTTTGTTAGAACGCAGGAAGTAATTAATGGGTTATAACGATGTTACACCTGATCTTAATTGGTGGGTGCCAAGAACGAAACACAGTGTGAGCTCCGAAAATTAAGTCCGAACCAGGCCGGAACCCTAACGTGATCACAAATCACATGGGTAATTTGCATAAATTGCATAT